ACTTTTCACCTCCTCTTAAATTACAACAAATGATCTCTTCTTCCCATATCCCATCTCTTATGTATAAACGAATCCATCAAGCATCATCATTTCAGTCCTGGTGTCAGTAAAAGTCCACTAAGGGTTACAAGAAATAGCCACATATCTGTTTTAACCTTGATCACATAAACCAACTTTGTATTCCTTCCTTTTAGTTCTAACAATCTTTATTTTCAGTCCATTCAAATAATGTCATAGACCTTGATTTCATTTCTTCTTTGTCCCTTCTCACAAGGTTCTTCAAAGGTTTAACAAATCTTTTTTGTAAGTCCAATATAGAAAAATTATCCAAATCACTCTCTTGGTTTATTATTTATATTCCTCTTTTAATTATTAAAACATCAGCCAGTTTCTTTTGTATGTCCAGTATAACATCTTTTTCCATGTCATTCTTATAACATGTCATTTGTAAATCCACTTTCAACTCAGACTCTGTTTTGTCAAGTAAAACGTGTTCCATAACATCTTTTAGACCCAGTCAATCCATAGAGGTAGATATCGCTGTTCACATTGTTAATATTAACTTTGACTCCATTTTTCAAAAGTGTCCTTCAATATTTCCAGTGCTAGAATATTTTGCACCATTCTGTAACTGTTAGTCAAGTTTAGGTGTTCTTTTCCTTTAATCGGAATCTTTAATTCCCTCTAGTGTCCAATGTTTAAAATCTTATTATGTTTTAAAAAGAATACAAAACAAAAACACTTTCACACAGGAAGGATTCTTTATAATTAATTCCAAAATCTTATTTCAAATTTATCTGGACCCTTAGTCCATTTGCAGCTTTCTAAAATCAAAGTTTTAATCAACCTTTTGCTGTTTATTTAAAAAAAATTAAGTTCTTAAGCTTGTAGTAAATACTTAATTTGTCATTGCCTTCTTGCCTTCTGTTCTGGCAGCTTCTACTTTGTTGCTGCTTTCATTACTGGTATAACATTGCAATAAGATGAGATGTGAAGCTGGGTTGAGGGGGTAAAGGAGATTGAAAACAATAGGAATACCCTCTGACACACAAATGTCCATCCTCTACTTTTCCTACTTTTTTCCTCACAATTCTTTTACTTTTTTTCAAAAATAGGACATTGCATCTTTCATTTTTTAATGCTGTTTGCCTGCTGGTGTGATATCATTGTTCAAAGGATAGCTGTCATAATATGAAGCAATAACAGAGATATTCATCTTTCAACTTGGAAGCTTTTCTGTGGAATAAGATCAACTGTTTGGATATCTACATAAGTGAAACTGGTCAAGAAAGAGATTTAAGCCCTGTTTTCCCAGTGTACAAAAGAAATTAACATATTTTTAAAAACTTATGAAAGAGTTACCCCCGCGCCCCAAAAAAGGGAAATTAATTGTATTAAATTAAGAAATCCAAGATCTGTGCTATATATAGTGTTGGTAGAACAGTTGCTTATTACTTTTCATCTTTGCAAACACAGTATTTTAGGGAAGGAAGGAAGGAAGCTTCAATTAGCAGAGCCTTTCAGATTTAAATAAAATGAACAATTCCTTTTATCTTCTGCACATCAAAAATGTTGCACAAATTCCTACCTAATAAGCCATGGGTACGTTCAGATAGTCTGTGACTGTCCAATGTATAGAACCCTAGAAAATCTCCATGTTTTGGGTTTTTCCGCCAACTTTGATGTAAAATTATTACAAATGTTGCTCCTTCTCCCATAGATACTTCCAAACTCTTCTTTCGGATAATTTTCAAAGTCAAACTAGTTTGGATTAGAAAACATGATAGAAACAGGTCAATGCAACGGTTTCAAAGTAGCGTAAGCAGGCAACCTAAGCCATTTCTATCACTGAGACAAGCAGAGCTACTGCTATCAGTTTACCTACACTACCCCAGAGAAACTCCAAGCTTTGCAAGGCTTTCCTGAAGTCTTCTGCGGGAGGCGGGAGGCGGAAAAAAATCCTGTGAAATTTAGAGATATTCCACAGGACATCAAATTTTAATGTGATCTCTCTACATGACAGAGGATCTATCAGCAGTGAACCTGTAAGCTGCTTTTGGCCTGGGCTCATGCTGGCTTGACTCTAAGCCAGTTTAAGAAAAACCTGTCCAGATTGAGACATTTTGGCGGTCCAGGCTGCAGGCTGCCAATCCTCTCCCTCAACAATTCTCCTGCTGTTGTGGTCTCTCAACTTTCTGATACTGGAAAGCAATTGCCAAGTCCTTTCCTTCCTGTGGGCAGGTCTTCCTGGTCATTTATACTTTTATATGTCTCTGTGTATGCACATGTCTGTATCAGCTTGACAAAATGGAGCAAGTAAATACTGTCTGCCATCCTGTCACATGACCTCTCAGACATATAAGCTATGCCTGGAGGTGATCAATTCTTTTAGGGAAAATAGTTGGGAGCAAACGTTTGGGCCAGGGGGTTATGTGAGCTCTGGAGGCTGATATGTTTGGTTCCAGTCCTTGGATTAGAAGTAGAGTGTTTTTAGACCTTGCACATATGTTTATCTTGGTTCTGGTTGTTTGGTTGTTGTTTTTTTTAAATTGTGTTTCTGTTTTAGTTTTAATCCTTTGCTCACCACTTCAAAGCACTGTATTGTGAGATGGGCAGCTATGTAAATTGTTTAAAGAAAGAAATAAAGAAACAGATAAGGTATACACACACAGACACTCACAGAGCTTGTCTCATGGAAAGGGGGAGGAAACTGAAATGGGCTAAGGAGCTGAAAGGACTCCTTGGGGCTCTCTGAGCTTGGATGTTTGCTTGCAGACATTTCATTACCTGACTAGGTAACATCATCAGTGCAAGTGAGTGTGGGGTTTGCTGCCTATTTATATGCATTAGTTTGCCCTGCCAGTATTGTTGATGGTGTAGTTTTCTCCTTGGTAGTTCCTTGATTAGGATATTGTTTTCTGCCTGATTGTCTGGTGCTATCCCTGCTTATCTGAGTGTTTGCTGCTGGAGGGGATGTATTCTGGTCTTTTTGTTTCCTTCCTAGGTTTTTTACTGTCTTTTTTGAATGGTATGTAAATCTGGTTTATCTCTATGTGAGCAAATCACTCACACTGATGACATTACCTAGCTTGGTAATGAAACATCTGCAAGCAAACAACCAAGCTCAGAGAACACTAAAGACCTCACAGTTCAACCCTGAGCTACAGATATGCTCTTCTATTGGAGCTGAAAGGAGATACTGTTGGTGAGACAGAGAAGAAGTCAGTAGGCAACCCAAGTGGAATTTAAGCAGTTTTAGCTGCTGAAGAAACATTGGTCCTGGGGTGGACCAGAGGCCACCAAAGAGGCTTCCTGGGTGAAAGAGAACCACTGATGATGGAGGAGGACCAGGGTTTGAGAGATCATTCTATTCTGTACAGAATTCCAGAGGGAGAAGTAGATCCAGAGATCAATGTTCTGTTAACCACAAGAGGTTACCAGCTATGTTTTATCTGAAATCCTAAATTAGGTCATGGGAATTGAGTCATAACTACCTACTTAACAATAGCTGAGGACAGGCACTGACTTCAGAAGCACTACTTTGCAGGCAGGGAAATAGTTAATTCCTGAATGGCAGGGTTTTTAGAGTCGCATAGGGATTTACTGCTTATCCTGCCATCCAGCCAACTAAACTGGGAATGAAAGTCTGATTGTTTAATCTGCTTTAGCTTCATGTCACTTACAGAGCTATCTAGTCTCAAAAAAACCCCCAAACTTTTCTATCTTTAAAATGTTATAAATGAAAAGAAAAATTCTGAACAGTTTTCACAAGAAGGTTCTTGCATGCTGTATGTTTTGTCTGTTTGATACTTCAACTCTCCCACTCCCATGATAAGAGTCATTATTTACCTCTCTATTGCTCTCTATATGCAAAGCTAAATTAAATGTATAAAGTTAAAGCATTAAAACACACATAACATGTAGGCACAGCAACCAGTTTTAAAATAAAACTGCATTTTCTCTGCTTTTCCTGAGTAATATCTACTGCGGTAACATTTACAGCAGGCCTTTCTGACTAACATAACATAATGGTTTATGTTACTGTTGCTTGTATGCAGCAAAACCCTGGTTTGAACAGGGATGGCAAGTTTTTATCTCAACTTACTGTTTTTCTTTCCTTGAGCTACCTATTTTTCTGCTATGCTGTGTTTTTTAATGCGCCTGTCAGCGCACGGTTTCATTATCTTTCCAGTCACTTGAGGGAGTAGAAAAATAATGAAAACAGTGGGAAGAAGTGGAAAAATGATGCACTGGTGGATTTATTTTTTTTAAAAAAGCAGTGGAAAAGTGGCCCAGAGAAAGAAAAAAAGTACTAGTAGGTTTCAAACCAGAACATTCTGTATGTAAGGCAAGTATTATAGCTACTATGTTAGTAAGGAAGATCTGCTGTAAGAGACCCTGCAACAGATGTTATTCAGGAGAAGCAGGAAAAATGTGGTGAAGAGGTATTCCTGCCTCTGCGAAGCAGCTAAGCAAAGTGCAGGAATTGGCCTAGAAGAAAACAAAATGCTGCAGAGAAAACGGACAGCGATGCTGAAGCCAAAAGAAGCTGGAAAACACCACACCAGAAGTGGAGCAAACAAAAATGTGCCCAGAGATTGCAGTGGGTGGGGGATGAGTACAGCTGACGTTACCCATTCAATCGTCCAAAAATGGTTGCTGGCCTATACTGGCAATTGGGCAACCTGGCAGGGTGCATAAGCCCCTAGATTCAGTTCATGGGGGGTTACGACCAATCTGACCCTCCGGCCTAAGCCAGTCTAGCTGAATGTCAGCGACCCTGAATGACTTTGACAGAGAGCTGCTACTTGTTTTCTTTGCTAAAGCACGGCCGTTACTGCAGTATTTCAGGCAAAGGTAAATGAGAGCCATCGGTGGTACTCCACATCCTGGCAGGAAGCCAGCTTCATCCTGGAGCATCCAGCCAGGGAGAGAGCCTCCCCCAGTTTGCACGGCTCCGCCTGGCTATGGAATGCTAAGTGCATGGTAGGCTTTTAGGTACTTGGCAACATGCGTGTTTGATCCTAAAGCACCAAGCTTACAGCCGACACCAGGTGCTGGAGTCACAATAGCTGGGGAGAAGGATGTGCCAGTTCTGGCATGGTGGTTTCAGATCAGTGTAGGCTCAGACAGAAAGGTGCAGAACGTACGCCCTTTTCAGATCACTCAAGTTTGTTCTCTAAGGTAAGATCACAATCCTGTATGTCTCAAAGGACAACTAGCACCACAGGGGCAAAATCACATCAGTTGCAAGGGATAATTTTGAATGAAAAATGTAACTGTGATTCCGTACACGCTTTGAAGTAGTTTATATTGAATTCAATGGGGCTTATTTCTAAGGGGATACTGATACATTACAAATGAAGAATACTTCATATGCATTCTTATGGATGGTGTTACCGTCCCTTTCTAGCCATCTTCTGTTTCATCCCGTTCATTTCTTGCACTAGTGAAAAGCAACAAAATTACCCGGATTTTGTCCCACCCTTTCCACCACTCCCCCCCCCCCCCCAGATTGTCTCGTGGAGTAACTATAGTTATAAAATACATTCAGATACTTTAGGCCTCCAATCTCTATTTAACCATGAAGTTCAGGTTAGTCATTATCTTTCAACATAACCTACTTCACATTCTTGTGAGGTTAAAAGAGGGATGGGAGTATGATACTGCCCTTACCTGCAAGAGCAGAATAAACATGAAATTAATAATAAAATAAAATAAAACACTTGGATGGTTCAGCTTCCTTCTTTGACTTTCTTGACACAAATCCACCTTATTTTAAAATGTGATTTAGGATCTTACGTGGGATGTAGTAAGGTAACTTCATCCAGCCATGTGAATGTCATCTGCTTTGTGCCATTGTGTAGAATGATTTTCTCAGGAGTTACTTCAAGTTTTAAATTCAGTTCTTCACTGTGAATCCCAAGTCTACCAATATAACTATTCTGTGGCTGGGCATCATTGTTGCTCATCTTATTTCCAATCAGCTGTCCATTGACAGTAATACCTTAAAAAATAAAAAGGATGAAGAGGAAGCCCCATTTCTAGGTTTCTTTCAATGGAAAGCCATTTGATTTTATTCTATAAATAAATCTAATTAAAGGAAATCCACCATGATCAAGCAGTTTTCAATGGCTAAAGAAATGTGTGCAATGCATTGCAATTAGTGCAATGAAATTGTATATTTTATGCACTGCAAATTCACTATAATAGTGAATCTGGCTCTCTCGGTCCTGTGCCTGCCAATGCTATGGAAAGGCATTCCTCCACACACACACGCCCCCCCCCCCCAAGATTTGGATGGCCGCAGTCTTGCTGGCCTTTTGGAAAGCTTTGAAAACATGGCTCTTTCCTTCAGGCATCAGGACATGGTGCTGGTTGAGCCTGTTTTGTAACAGTGGAGCTTACGATTGGTGATTGCCTCAGTAGCACTGTGTTTTTTAATAATTACATTTTCTGAGGTTTTTTTGTTTTGTTTTGTTTTGTTTTAATCCTATGCAAGCTGCCCAAAGTTGCAATTTGCAAATTCGGTAGCCGTATAAATTGATTAAATAAATAAATAAATACACAGATAGATGAGCTAATTCTTAGGCAGCAGATGAGATGAGAAACCTGTGTCTGGCCAGGATCATTTCAACTTACCTGTACTTGGGTCCCGGATTAGATTTAAAATTTTCCCTGGATCTTCATAAATGTTAAAGCAAAGAGCATCATCCTTTTGTGGTATGTCTATGATGAAATGTGGATCACCATCAACTGCAAAGAGAAATGTCCATTTGATCTTTGCTTCTCATACAAAGCTTTCTATAAAATTATGCCTTATGATAAATTTCATCCCTTTTATCTTTAATGTCATTAACATATTTGAAAAAGAGTCCAAACTCAAGTGTTTGGGTCCACATATTGTGGTCAGCCATGCTTTGTTTTAACTATAATTTGTTGAATAAGTCCCAGTGGGCTAAGTACACATTTCACTGTTATAAGCCATGATTTACAGTCCACAATGGCTACGTTGCTTTAATTAAATTACGTTCACATAACACTCTAACCTAAAGTCAAAGCGACCCCACTATGGGTTAACACTATTATTTGTTTAGATTTCACTCTGTCCATTTGAGGTTTAATTCCAAAGCCATTTGAGTGAAACTTTCTGACTAAATGATATCTCCCATGAATCTGGTTCACATGCTATGAAGATGCTTTCAGTAACTCAATGTGTGTTGAAAATATTTCCATATGTAGTTTGCAGTAGAGTTCAGGAAAATGCTTTAGATTCATCTACTAACCCCTTTTTATATAAAAGTTCTCTTGTCCATATCCTAGATTTTTCTAACCAGTGTTTGCTATGATCACTGAACCATCTGATTAACTTTCTGAATGCAATGTTGACATAGCTATACAGGTTGTCCTTGCTTACTGCCCATTCGTTCAGCAACCATTCAAAGTTATGATGGCACTGAAAGAGGAGACTTACGACCAGTCCTCAAAGTCCTGGCCATCACAGCATTCCCACAGTTGTGTGATTGTGATTTGAGTGCTTCACAACTGGCTCACACTTATGAGGGGCAGCATACCATAGTCATGTGATCGCCTTTTGCAACCTTCCTTGCTGGCTTCCCAAAAGCAAAGTCAATGGGGAAACTGGAAAGGAAGGTTGCAAGTCACTCTGGTAAGTCACTCACACCCTCCCCCACCCGGCAGCAACCATCCTTGGTCCCATCACCCTCACACTGCACACTGCACCTTACCTGCCTGCCAGCCCATTTGTGAGCCACCTGGGACTCACTTAATGACCCATGATCCTTGCTTAATGACAGCAATGGGGAGTGCTGGGATTGCCGTTGCTAAGTGATGCGGTCACGTGATGTTGCACTTTACAACCGCATCACTTAGCGACAGAAATTCCGATCCCAATTACTGTTATTAACCAAGGACTACCTGTAAATGGTTTGGCAAGGCAGAATTTGCAGGCCATGCTAACTAAATTATTATTTGCTAGTTCTCATGGCATGGCAAGCCACAGTTAGAGAAAACTAGAAAGCAGAAAAAAAATATTACATGTGAAAAAGGAGTCTGTATACCACCCCTTTAGCATAGTCCTAAACTTTGAAACAAGATGGGAGCCATGTATTTTACTAGTGTTTTATGATAAAACAATCACAATATGAAGTGCCCACTAGCAGACTTTAGATATGAAGCTTTTGAAGCTCTTCCATCTCTTTCTTTCCATTTGCAATAAAGGAATCAAAACAAAACTTACCACTTGTATACCCGTGAGAAGGCCCTGGTGAGCTGTATGATGGGTAAGTGGGCGCAGCTGATGATGATGCATAGGAAGAAAAAGGAAAAGGGGTTATGCAACTGAAATTAGGATAACTTTATATGTTTTATCAACTTTAGGAATACTCAATTCTCATCCCAGTTTTCATCCTGATCTGAACAGAGCTCAGCACAGTTTCAGTGAAGTTGAACTCTATATCACATTTTCACATGACTGTTTTGTAACTGTAAAATGTCTGCTATCATCAAATAAAATAAAGGAAGGGGGGGGGGAAACAATATGCATACAATAAAATAATCAGGAATAACCCTGCATGCATCAATTAAGAGATTCCAATCACCTGATGAAGAAAAGTCATACAAGAAGAGCACACTGAATCTGCACTGATATACTTGAGGGATTTCTGTCAAGAGTCTTTAATTAACTGCTCAAAATCTATAATGGGTCATCCTGGGCATTCCTGTTGGTTCAATTCTATGCTGCCAATATACCTAAGTATTTATGAAAGATCACTCACTTACCAAGGAAATGAAAATTAATTGATCATCTCCAGGAGAATAATTTGCAGGCAGTCACAACATGGAAAGTCCATATACCAACATTTCCCTCAAAAAACCAATTTTTCTTTTCAGTGTGTCACTTTATGCTTCTCTTTTTCCAATTACTTCCTTTCTGCGAGGTTACAAGGACTGAAAGGTGATTAAATTAGGTCTACCAGATCTTGGCTACAAAAATCTGATGACACCAGTGAACTACAGAAAATGTTAACAATCTGCTCCCATCCTGTGGTTGTCCAGAGTCTAACAGTCCAGATCTGGTAACCCTAGTAGATCTGAAGTATTACCTAGCAGGAACTTGGTAATTTCATTACGGCAGTTTGTTTCAAACACTTGAAGAATATTCCTAAAGTATGTCAATGCAGATTTAGTTATGCCTCCTATAAGATTTCCCCAGTAGGAAGCAACCCTCCTCCAAGGTATCTACGCTGACCACAATAAAAACTTGGATTTATGGCTGAATAAAAGCCAGCTCCTGAGCAAAAGGACACTCCATAGATGGTCACAACACTAAATAGCTTTAAAAATGTTTGTTGTCAAAAGACAAACTCTAATCTCTTGGAGAGTAGAAGTGGTTACATCCATTCATTTATTTACAACATTTCTTTACATGGCCATTTCTCACTAGAGATTTCAGAGTGGTGTATAACATAAAGAACATTTTTATAGGAACACAATAACACTGAAATCCAATTGAAAAAAAAAGCAGTAAAATGTTCAATTTCACAGGCAGACTGAGTATTATGCAAACTAAAATGTCTAAGGAAAACAATATATGTTACGCTGGCATTGAAATAGCTGTTCAAGTCCAGGGATACTTAAAGTCTTAAAGCTGTAAGCTTCTGAATTAAGTTCTGAGATGGGGTGAGAGTATCTAGGCAGTATAGTTGCCTTTGGGCCTTTAGATTTATAGAAATAGGTCTTTACATTTTTGCACCCTCTGTTTAACTAGACAGAAAATTGTTAATAAAAAACTTCCTCCTCCTCAGCCATGGAACTGATATAACAAGCTTTGGGGCATTTTATATATTTTGCTTAGCAATAACGTCTAATACCTACATTTAAAAAAAAAAATCCCAAGAAAATACTGCATTTTCTGTAACACTTTCATTGTTAATTTACAAATTAATTTCCCTCTGCTTTGCATTCCCATTCCAAAAGATGGAGCAAAGGATGACAGATCTTCATTTTAACCTGTTCTGATTTTTTTTTTTACAATTAGCAGTATTTTCAATCAGTATAAAAGAAATGTCATAGAAAGAAATAATTCTATCCAGTTCCTTTTTAATGAAGTGAATTGGTTCAGAAATACAGAATTGCCACTTACATTGTCGAGTAGCTGCAAATGAAAGAACACAAAGAATTACTTTAATGTGAATAAGGAGAAAACCCAATATCCCCACTTTTCCGAAGTGTCATTTTACTATTAGGAATTTCTACAGCTGGATTCCTGAAGGATCAAGATATTGATAATCCAGAAAATCTTCCAATTCCAGTGTTCAAATCACTTCCCTCAACTACTTCTTGATGTGCATTCTAAATATATTATATAGAGAGACAGCATTTTTTTTATTTTTGAATTTGAATTTTACATTTTTAATATACACAATTAACAAAACAAACTTTACACTTAAAGAAAAAAAATAGAAACCAAAAGAAAAGGGGAAAAAATTAGGAAAAAACCCAACCCCAAACAAACTAAAAAAGAGAAAAAAAGGGAAAAATACTTACATGTTATCAATAGTCCCTGGTTTACTAATAAATACACTACTATAATATAATCAGTACAAAATATTATTGTAAAATTTCACAAAATCGCTGCCATAGTAAAACATATTGCTACATCCTTTGATTAGCAGAAAATACTGTTTCCAAAGTAGATAGACCACACATTTCCAACAACCATTCCTTAGCATCTGAAATAATATTACTTTTCCAATTTCTCAATATGATTCTTTTAGCCACTCCACACGATCGACACAACTAGCAGTCTCAATGTATTGCAATACCCTTTGGTATGTGTGTTGTGATGTCACATACATACATAAAAGGATGGAGCTTGTGGCGCATTGCCCCAATGCTGCTTTTGACATCTAATGAATGCAGCCAGCTCCTGCGAACATCCATGATCCACACCTAATGTTTGCCCATCCACATGGCCAGCTGGGACATACAAAAGATGAGCCATGAAGGCCACACCATTGGGAGCAATAGATCCCAAGTGCCTCTTAATTATTTTACTTAATTAAAGTAAAAAACATTTAAAGGTAAAAAAATAAAAGTCAAACTTACCCTCAGCTGTTCCAGCAATGAATAAGAAAGCAGCAAAACAAAAAAGAATGATTATTTTTAGAGACATCCATTCCAATATAAAGTGTTAAAAAAGAACATTATTAATAAAATACTGTTTTGATCAACCCTAAGGTTCAGCAAGACTGCACAATCTTTACAGGGCTGTGAAATAAACACTTGTCCCTCTACAGACCTGTTCAATTATATCATTTCTTGAAAATGAACCTTCCTGTGAAGTAGGCTTTCTGCATATCCCAAACATTGCATGTACCTCCTTGTTAGCTTGCAAAGTAGCCACTCCTATGGATTAGAGATCCTTACTTGCATGGAATAGCATGAACACGCTTGAGGGGAAACCAGACTTTGGTTGCATGCTGACCAGTACTTTCCAGATCATTAGCAGGGAGTGCTACATGTTGCATCGGTATGATTAAGATTGGTAACACAATCTATATCTCCTCTATATTGCTAAAATGTGTTACGGTATATGAAATCTTTGATTGCCCAAAGTCATGAAGGGTGATAGAAGTCAAGATCTGTAGACCTGTAGATTCTTGAGATTTGGAGTATAAGAGAAGGAAATGGTGAAGAGCAGGGAGGCAGGGAGGAGAATGAATATGACTATGGGGAAGGATTTAATGTTCTCAGTAAAGGTAGCTTGATCTGGAGTGGAGCTGATGAGCAATGCAGGGAAATTAAGGTGCGGGTTAATATGCTGGAGTGGATTAGTTATATAGAAAGAGTGAGTATCAAATCACCAAACAAATATATGAAGGAAGAATGAACAGGTCATGAAGAAAGGGAAGCCTGAGAATGCCATGGTAGACAGAGATGAGTTCCTCAGAAAGGCAGAGGTCAAAGAACAAAAGGCAATATGAAGTGATATATGGACATAGTAGAATCTATAAGGGTAGAGAAAGCTAGAGTAAATGGTGTTGAGGTAAACTAGAATAACTAGATATAGCTGTGTTTACTTCTCTTTTCTTACATCATGCTTTAATTTCCTTGCTTACTGTTTCTTGCTCCTTTTCTGTGCTTTGCCTAATAATCCCTACTCCAAGAGGGAACAGCATGATGGGTAGGTATGTTTGTAGATTTTCCACTCAACCTGGTCCGGGCTGCAAAAATCCAAATATCTACTAGATGGCAGAGATACAGAAAACCAGCTCTCTGTTGTCTTCTTATGGTTATCCAGATGCTTATAGCCCAAATTGGGCTATAAACCAAGAATAGATATATCGTAAGGCTGAGCAAACTCTTCAAAAGATGATCCAGAATATGTAGAAGTCCATAAGAGTATTGCTTTCTGAATAATTAAAACTACGGCATTCTTTTCCAGGCTCATATGGCTGCTTCAGGCTACCTCTGCATGTAAGTTCAGCTATTTCCTATGTGTGGCAACATCACTAGACCCTTTATTGATAATGCTGTAAAAATTACCAAGTATGTATACCTTCTAGTGGCTTGTCAGCAAGTGCAGCTTTATCAATATTGTCTTCTGGCTTTGTGACCACCATGGATGTCAGAGGAGTCACAAACTTATATTTCAGAGACATCTCCAGGGCTTTGGCAGTAAGATTTACCTTTTCATCTCCCTTTGCTGAATTCCTAGATGAAACAACAACGCCTAATATGTTACTTACCACAAGATGTTTTTGCAGCCAATGGCATAGAGGCCTTCTTTGTTTTTTAAAAGGATGCAATAAATACACAAAAGACTATACGTATCTACAATGTTAACCAAAGCTCTATGTTCAAAAGCAGTAATAATCTGACAATTAAATACTGGAGTCAAGTAAATGAGAATGGCTGTTTCCACTGTATCCTGAGCATGGCCTTTGTGACCGTTTTGCACCATCTTAACTTGAACAAAAGGAGCCAATGTCATATTCTTAAAGCTGCAATGATTTATTTATTGGAAGACAGCCCCCAGATATTTTAGTCAGTTATACAATATTTTCACAGCTTAATACACCAACATGGAGACTGCAGTGTTATTTACATTTAAAAGGCTGTCGTATAAAATCCTGACACTGATCATTAATTATGGCTAAACATTCTGGAAGAAACTCTAAAGGAGTTTCTTCTATACCCGAAGTGCCATCAAAAATACATGAATGAGGCAACAAAAGCATTTTGGGTGCTTGTTTTTTTTAATTCAGCTACATGTATTTTTTTTCCATTTGTAATTGTTTTCTCTTTTCTGTTATGTAAGCCACCCAGAGCCATTTTGGACTCAAGCAGCCTTCTAAATCTGGCAAACAACAAACAAATATTTTAATACAAATTTAGAACAAATGAAAATAGGATAATTATAGCATATTATATTTATAATGCTATAATTATAACCCTCCTACATCGTGAGCTGTTTTATGTTTTCTAAAACATTTTAGAAGGGGTTTATTGAGTTACATTGCTGTTCCTTTTAAAATTGTTCATACATTATTCTTTTTAAATATTTCATTTTGAGATTGTTTTTAGCAATGAACACATGGTTTAGAAAGTCTACAAACAAGATAGGTGTGATCACACTGTGTTCATTGGGGCTTATCCCCAGGTAATTGTGCTTAGGAGTGCTACCTCAATGGAATGGATGGAGGACATTGCTGTAAAATTTCTAAGCTGGTGTATGATGGGAAAAATATCCTTCATTACCGTTTTTCCAAAAGCTGTTGAATGGTTAGGTAAGCCCAGAGTTTTTCAGTGTAGTCCCCATATATGTACTTCTGCTCTTCAAAAACTTTGGCTGTTTCATTAATATCTGATTGCTCAGAGAAAGTTAGGTCATCTTCAGCCTGTTAGAAATTTTTAAAAGAAAAGCTTTCCTTTACTTTGTACTATAGCAAGTAAGATTGTAAAAGCTTTCATTTGTACTACAGCAAGTAAGATTGTTTAGGTTTAAAGCAGTAGTCTACTATCTAGCAGAGGCAGCATCTAGATGTCAGCTGGCTCTCCTCAGAAGCTAAGCATGGTCAGCCTTGGTTAGTACTTGGATGGGGGACTATCAGATGGGGATCTAGGGCTATTGCTAGACTGGAATGTTGAGAAAGCACCCCAGAAGGTGGCAGTAGCAAATGACTTCCATAATTGTGCCAAGGAAATTATAAGGATGCGCTCATTGGAAGCTGAGCTCAACTTAAGGGCATCTTTACTTTTTCTCTAAGATGAGAAGCTTCTGCTTGGTAAGAAATTGGATGACATTTCAGTTATAAGAATAGGTGGCTGATTAGGTAGGTAGGTAGATTCTATAAAGTCTTGTAGACTGGACACAGAGAGAAGTTTTAACACACTGTGACATACAAGTACAATATATGTATTAAATGGAACTTACTCTATTGGTTTTTAATTCAAAAACAGAATTTTGATCTTTAGGTAAAGGGAAGATGTATTACTAACCTGCTAAATACAACTCCCCAAAGCTGCATTCTCACATAGCACTGAGCCAGGATTTTTAACCAGATTCTATAAAGTCTTGTAGACTGGACACAGAGCGAAGTTTTAACACACTGTGACATACAAGTACAATATATGTATTAAATGGAACTTACTCTATTGGTTTTTAATTCAAAAACAGAATTTTGATCTTTAGGTAAAGGGAAGATGTATTACTAACCTGCTAAATACAACTCCCCAAAGCTGCATTCTCACATAGCACTGAGCCAGGATTTTTAACCGTTGTTTCTTGAAGGAGTCATAATGATCCATCCACACAAGATTCAGCCTTAACAGATGGGGTCACATGAAAACAAAAACAACTATTCCTCCCACACTTCTCAGTCAAGTGCAATTTGCAAACAAAGGGAACAGGGAAGATGGGAAGATCTAATTAAGCATTCCCTGAGGGCCCTTTTAGGGCTCTGAAAAATCCAGGAGCAGAATGTTCATTAAGTCTCCTAACGTACACACAGGCACACATACATTTTCTCCTTACTGGATGCCAAATATCTCTGTGGAAATCTGGAGTACTGAAATACCTCCTTGGACTATGTTTTAATAGATGAGTTGTTCTGCTTTGAATGACAAGTCTCCACTTATGTGATCCTTTCAAATAGGGAACTATAGCATGGATGGGGCTGCTGTCTCCCATGAGTGGGAATTGAGCCAATGGCCCTCTCTTAAACAATATCTCGTATTTACCCCACGAGCTTTCACATCTGCAGTGATACTGTTGAGGTCATCGTCTACGATGCGTCCAGCCACAACAATTTCAGAGCCATCGTAGTAGTGTTTAAAATGATTTTGAGTCAGATCAGAGACGGCATTTTCTGGGTACTGTAACTCCACTTCAGTAAGTAAGGGATTGGCCACTTCGTCATAAAAGCCCTAAAACCAAAACAAACAGAAAAAAAGCTTTCTTAAAAAAAGAACAAATATACAAACACACCCACCTACCCACACATCGGTAAACCTTCAGTTGGACAGTCTGTCGGGGGAGGAGGTGCCCATTAAATCCCACTGTTTGCTAAATCCAGAAGGTACCTTTGCAATGTGACTAGTCCACCACTACCCTCAGTTGCTATGGAGGTGGCTGGTAAGAAGCAAGTCACTGGCTCCAAGGGAGTGGGAAGGACTTGTTCAGCCACCAAAACAAACATGTGTAATGTGCCCTGGGGCATTGCAACCTGAGGCTAAGGCGAGCTCCCTTCCACCAATCTTTCTGCCACTGCCACCACAGAAATCAAAGTGTGGCATATCCCACTGGCCCTTCCACCTCCCAATACCCAAGCCATGATCACCTAGAAAAGGACGTTGCTGCTGGATGACTCTTTATTGACTTAAAAGAAAAACAATTATCATGATAAGTATTTTTATAAATTACATTATAAGAACATTTATATTTTATAGTTTCACCTGCAGCTGCAAAGCAGAATCGGAATCTTCATAGATACGCCGAGCCAATCCGTTGTTCTCTGATGCCATCTTCTCTAAAGACCCATAGTCCAGATCATAGCCAAACCCAAGATTATATAAAGGATATTTTCCTTGAATTGCATTTCTGACATTTTCTAAAATGACGTCATTATTTAATTCTCCTGCATGAAAACACACAAAAAGTTAACACAGTTTTTTAAATACAGTTCTGTTGTTCCTGTTTTCCCAAGTAATAAAAACTCAGCTCAGAATTAATTTTACAGGCTTGCTTTTCAAGTCAGTATTGCCACTCAGGACTGCAGTTTCCCATTGAACACTTTCTGTGATTCAGATGACATATAATTGTGCTTCAAATTATCAAAGCAGCACACTCCTTGAAATGGGTATTTTGTCAAATAATTTGAGAACTAAATTAATTTATTGTCACACCCAACTCCTTTCCCCCCCTTTTATATGAACACATGAACCAACCAGAAATTATTTTGTGTATCTTTTTTTGTGCAAGCTGAGAAACTACAGTGAACAACTGTGGTTTAAAGTTGGCATTATAGCCTAGTTTGTTCGAAGTTTGTTCACTGGCTGGGCTGGGCTTACACATCACACTAACCCATAAAGTCTTGGCTTAGTGGTTGTGGAAATCTGGCCAATTGTGATGTATTCAATAAGTGGAAGTTTAGTAAACCATAGCTTAGCACATTGGGTGGACCCAGTCATTAGCTATAGCTTCCTGGGTTTGATAAAATGAGAAATGATGGTTTACTGAAGGATTTATTACTTGTTCCCTCTCACTGCAGGCAGAAGAATGAAGGGACTCTAAGCATGGTCAGACGGTTTATTCTTCATTAAGGTGAAATGTTCTTCACAGTTCCCAAATAATTATTTAATATGCTTACCTCGGTATAAAACACTGTAAAATACATGATTTAATCGGTATTTTTATAAACAATGATTGGTGTTAAATAGGTCTTATACCAAATATACTGTATATGTCAAAGGCAGAGATTAATATATGTAGGACTAAAATGTAAAACACCAGGCTAGTTCCAGAATGTTATGCCATAGAAGCCAGCTTTGCCTGTCAAGAAAGTTACCTTTAGTGGGTCTGCCATCTGTTAACATAATAATTAAAGAAGCACTTCTTTCAGGCAAAGAGCCATTTTTATGAGCCTCATTCAGCATCTGAATACCGGTCTGTAAGCCACCATTAAGATTTGTCCCTGGAACAAAGGTGCACAGGTTAAAAATAGATCCTTCAGACACATTACTATAGTTCCCCACACTTGCACTTGTATTTCTGACACAGGTTTATGTAATAAAAGAAAATATTGTAACATTCAATAGCCATCTGGACCTCCACAAGGGAAGTTAGTATGTGTTTTTCCTTTCTCTGTCTGCCGTATTTATTCTTTAAAATTGTCTTCCTTTCCTTCTATCATACATAAGGAATCAGGGCATGTCAGAGCTATGGTTGATCTCATGCAGTATTACATTTCAGAAAATCCTACAGTACAGCATATTCTTTCTCTCTTATATTTAATCTCTTACTGTGGTAGTTCGAAAGATGTCTGAGAAACCCTGGAGAGCTATTAGTTAGGCTAGTCAAACCTAACAATACTCCACTCCAAAGCCAGTAGTTTGATTTCATATAAGAGTTTGCTATATAATCACACACACACCAAAGGTATGTGCATTTATTTCAGGACAAATTGGAAAATGAGACAAATGGGCCATCTCATTGTGGGGTGGGGCGGGCAAGGAGAGTCAGTGTGACAAAAGCAGCATTGCAGTGTTGAAACACAGGCCTACTTCTTTTTGTATGTGACACACATCTCACACACACACTAAAAGAGGGAGAGCTTGTGGCACGACACTGTGACATTGTGGATATCACCAGGTAGCCTGTGGATGCTACTAAAATGGAGCCTTTCCTTCAGCATCCATCATGAGCCAAAATCTTTTGCCATACAGACCCTCTTTCTGTGATAAAATCACAGATGATCCTGACTCCGTAGCTAAATATTCCACACCATTTGTGTCTCCTTCATTTGTTCATTTTATTCCCTTATCTCAGGGAACAGCGGCATGTGGTTCCAGGCCATTATGTTGTTCTTGAAGCCCTCGGAGCCCTGTCCAACTGCTCTCCCTACAGGGAATCTTATCAAGTTTTTAGATGATGTTAACTGGGTTA